CAAGATGTTTCCATAACAAGATGTTTCCATAACAAGATGTTTCCATAACAAGATGTTTCCATAACAAGATGTTTCCATAACAAAATGTTTCCATAACAAGATGTTTCCATAACAAGATGTTTCCATAACAAGATGTTTTCATAACAAGATGTTTCCATAACAAGATGTTTCCATAACACGATGTTTCCATAACAAGATGTTTCCATAACAAGATGTTTCCATAACAAGATGTTTCCATAACAAGATGTTTCCATAACAAGATGTTTCCATAACAAGATGTTTCCATAACAAGATGTTTCCATAACAAGATGTTTCCATAACAAGATGTTTCCATAACAAGATGTTCCCATAACAAGATGTTCCCATAACAAGATGTTTCCATAACAAGATGTTTCCATAAGAAGATGTTTCCATAAGAAGGTGCTTCCATAACAAGATGTTTCCATAACAAGATGTTTCCATAACAAGATGTTTACATAACAAGATGTTTCCATAACAAGATGTTTCCATAACAAGATGTTTCCATAACAAGATGTTTCCATAACAAGATGTTTCCATAACAAGATGTTTCCATAACAAGATGTTTCCATAACAAGATGTTTCCATAACACGATGTTTCCATAACACGATGTTTCCATAACAAGATGTTCCCATAACAAGATGTTCCCATAACAAGATGTTTCCATAACAAGATGTTTCCATAAGAAGATGTTTCCATAAGAAGGTGCTTCCATAACAAGATGTTTCCATAACAAGATGTTTCCATAACAAGATGTTTCCATAACAAGATGTTTCCATAACAAGATGTTTCCATAACAAGATGTTTCCATAACAAGATGATCCCCCCCTTTAAGGGGGGGGTGGGGGACACCTAGAAATATTTCAGCTAAAAATTTCTGGTTTATAATGGTCTCTCCAGGGCCTGGTTGAATTCAAGGCTGAACGTCAAGCTCTGAAGGCTGTTTGACAAGTTCACTCTCTTATTTATTTTATTTTTCTTGGAAACTGGCAGTTACCATTTGCATCCATTTACCTAGTTGTGTGGTTTGCGCGTGGGCCCTACCCGCGTAAGGACTAAAAAGGTATGGCAATGGATTTTTTTCGGGGGGGACCCTGCTAGAACTGTAAAATACCATGGTTTTGCAACTACCCCCCTCAAAAATTTCGCTGTTGTAATTATTTATTTACCGCAGGGGTAGGAAACAAGAAGGGGCTCCTCCAGCATTGGCAATGGATTTTTTTGGGGGGGGACCCTGCTAGAACTGTAAAATACCATGGTTTTGCAACTACCCCCCCTCAAAAATTTCACCGTTGTATTTTTCTGTAAGTATGTTTGTGCCAATATTATATATATATACATACATTATGTGTATTTAAGTACATGTGTATGTATGTATGTATGTATGTATGTTCAAAATGAAAGGGTGTGCCATACCATCTCTGGGCTAAAATGTTGCATCCGGAGGACCCCCCCCACATCTTTTGGAAGCCCCAAAAACATGTGGGGGGGGGTATATTTCATGTGGTCAGGTGAAATATTTCTCAGAAATTTCTTGCCTTACCACCCCCAAATATTCCAGGGTTAAAGGGGGGGATACAAGATGTTTCCATAACAAGATGTTTCCATAACAAGATGTTTCCATAACAAGATGTTTCCATAACAAGATGTTTCCATAACAAAATGTCTCCAAGTGGGCGATTCAATCGAATTTCCAACAACGTTTGTTGCCATGCTGGTTCCAAAGTGCTGTTTGAGCATGGCCTTGTAAATGCACACCGAACCAGGCCAAGAAACACATCGTCATTGGCAAAAGTTCCGAACTGCCTGCTTCAATTTCTATTTGCACATCACCAGTACTAAAGTGAACCAGGAACCTAATCACCTCTACAAATGGTTAAGGATGTTAAATGGTACTTGGTAAGGAGTTTTTATGTCCCTAGTAAACACATATAACGTCCTATTAACAAACGGAAACCCATACTATATACATATACTACTTATTACGACGTAGCTTTGAAGGCCCTAGGACGTAATAAATGCTGTAGTATGCTGTAGTTGTTATCGCTACTTAGCTAGTATTTCGGTTCAAAAAGTGAAGTTTTTAGCTAAGTACGTAGGTGGATAAACTAGATACTTTGCTACCTAGGTACTGCAAGGTGGTTAGTTGTTGGTTTTTTTAAGAATCACAGAAAAGGTGTCTGCTTTATAATGGAGAGAAAGGGTCCTCGCACATGTGGCGACAAAGGCTGTCCACTGTTTGTCTTCAAATTGCGGAAGGAATTTCCCTCAGAACGGCTTGGCTTTTGCACTGCTGCGCGCCTTCTGCTTCTGCTTCTGAAGATTCTGTTTATCGCTTTGGATCTTTAGATCAAAATGAAATAGATAGATCATATTCAATGGCCAGCTTCAAGGCCAGGCTGGACCACCCCAAGTGCATGTTTCAACTCCACTCCAGGGATGGATTGGGTCTCTGGCTGCACACGGCCCTTTATGGCAATTTTTGGTTGTCGCTAGGTTATCAATTTGGTCATCGATAAATTCATCTGGTAAAAGGATGAAATAAAAATACGTGACAGATGGTTTCTCAAGCGCAGGTTCTGCTTTCGGGAGCCTGTGTCGTGACAGGTTTGGGCAGCAAGTTCTGTGGTTAGAAGTGCGTACTCTAGGCCTTTTGGGGGCCTTTTGGAAGCAGCTAAAGGCCACAGGCCTTTTGGGAGCACCTGTAGGCCTCTTGGGAGCCACTGGATTCACATCGGACAAATACTAAAACAATGCATACGAGGTTGCTATACAATCACAAAATGCATCGAACAACAACAACATCTTTCAACTTCACCATCAAATCACGTTATCGCTTTCCGTGGTTTGGGCAACATGTTACACCAAGAGGGCCTCTCATGTAAAGGTTTCTGCAAGAACATGTTAGGTCTTGCCCATATAACAAAATGATGCGATCAAAAAACACTTGACATGTTTAGACACACCAGGCCTGATTCCCACAAAGCGATTGCCACTCGCTCGTCAAAAACCAGCTTTGGGCAAAGGCATTTGCCACCACAGCAGGTTGTTTCTTGCGAAACGCCAAGAGATGGCACAGAGAATCTGAGGAGGAAGTTCGCAACAAAATCTTCGCATCTTTCAGCCTCCCGAAGACTGACCAGTAACGACTTGGACACTGAGTTCTCCCCGGCTACAGCTTTACAGAACATGAAAGCTTTGGAGGGCATAAAGCAATCCAAACAGCTGGCTTATCCCGGCAAGAGACCCAAACAGTGTGGGGGATTGGGGGGATCATGTATGATATTGCCATGATGATGATGGTGATGATGATGATGATGATGGTATATTTGATGGTGTTCAGATGTATCTGCGTCTGTTCTGTATATGGCACCGTGCCAGACACAAACATGAGCCTGTGCCAGATAAGCTTCCTGTCTCTGTGAAATTCCCTTCTTTAGATGTTTGAGGTGCATCCATTTTGGGGTCCAGGCCCCTGCATATGGCATTTTACCAGGCACAAACAAAATGCCGTGCCCAGCCGGAGTACCCTGATCAAGCACGGGTCTTTAGACTTACTGCAAGGACCCTTCAGTGTGGACCTGATGTTTGGGGAGTTAACCAGGAACCCAAAAGAAAAGGACCACCCTCGGAATGACTGACTTGCCGCAAGAATGCAAAAGCGCAGCTTGAAAGACAGCAGCACCGCTAAAAGAAAAAACCTTCCAGTTTGGTGTCGCCTGTCTGCCGACCCGCCACCGCTTCGACACTGCTCCAGGAACCTACTGTCCAAGCTTTGGCCGCCGCTGGCCAGAATCGCTTGAACAGCTTCCGTGCTGATGCCATTCTTGATGTCAAGGCCAAGTGAGTCCTGCAGCGCTCAGCAAAAAACCACTGGGGCGCTGGGGTAAACCTGACAGCACAAACTCAATTCAACCACTGGTTGCACCCCATAAAACTTTTCGCCTCAAATTCCAGTTTGCCTCGTTTAAATCCTGAGGATTTAAGCAAGGCAGGCCTCTTTTCAGCAAGTCAACACAGGTTGCCTCGCCATATTTCCCTCTGCCTCGTTTAAATCCTCAGGATTTAGCCAAGGCAAAGCTAGTCCATAACTAAAGGCAGTCATTTATTTAATGTCATCTAGCATTCAAGGATGGTCCTTGTGGGAGACACCATAGAAGGACATTGTCGCACCCGCCGAAACATTGGAAATATATCATCATCCTGGACCAGGCCATCATACAAAGCAATCTTCTTGAATTGATCTTCGCTCAAACGATAACGTTTGTTTGCTCGGGCATCTTCATGCCTGAGTGATATGCTCAAAGGCATCTGAAATGAGAGTCAGCACATCAAAGCTCACATATTAGTCTTCCACATATCTTTGCTACAAGTTGCCTGGGGCCTGACTCTTGTGGCACAGGTATGCCAAAAAACAGTTGATTACATCATCAGAGTTCACATACATGTGCTTCTACATGCCTTTGCTACAAAGTTGCCTGGGGGGCACCCCATTCGGGGCCCGAAGTTCGGGGCCCGACTCTTGTGGCATAGGTATGCCAAAAAGCATTTGATTACATCATCGTTCACATACATGTGCTTCTACATGCCTTTGCTACAAAGTTGCCTGGGGGCAATCTGTTCGGGGCCCGAAGTTCGGGGCCCGACTCTTGTGGCACAGGTATGCCAAAAAACATTTGATTACATCATCAGAATTCACATACATGTGCTTCTACGTACCTGCCTTTGCTACAAAGTTGCCTGGGGGCACCCCGTTCGGGGCCCGAAGTTCGGGGCCCGACTCTTGTGGCATAGGTATGGAATAAGGACACGCTGGATTGAAACCCATGTTTGCCCCCTTTTGCTGCTCTGGGATGAAGCGCGAAACCCTATCATTTAACCATACTTAGCCCTACTGAGTAATTTAAATGTATTACCACCCCCCCTCTAAAAGTAGAGTTGTCCATGGGGATGGTCTCCCCCAAGAAAAGGCTCTACTGCTTTACAGGATGTGAATGGTTTTGGCCGAGCCGTTTTGGATGAAAACTGATGCTCTGAGCATCTGGCAAGAAGGAGCAAGGCAGGGTCCCGTCTGGTCATGTGTAGGGTAGGCCATCCTTTTCTGGTAGGACAACTTTTCCCATTGCAGCAGTGCGAAATTCGTTGGGGAATCTCTCCAAGAAACTCTTGATTTGGCCTGGGTTGCGCCCTGTCGGGCGCCATCCGATCTGGGTACTGAAGGCGTCAAGTGGCAAACGCCGTGGTAACTCCTTGTCCTTCTTCTCACTCTTTTCACTTTTGTCATCCCTTGCCTTCTTTTAGACTTCACACTTCTTTCCCATTCTTCAAAATTCACTTTGGCCGGTACCACATCGGCAGGGGAAAAAGCTAATGCCTTCAGCAACGCCGACATCCCCACCGCAAAAGCCCTTGAGCCCGCACTGAGCAATCTTTGATGATGAAGCTATGAAACATTGCAAGTTTTGGTTATGCCCATCAATCCGTCCGATTATCAAGGGGGATTGCTCGGTCTCTTCCCTAACCAACAGGAGGCCACCCCGCTACCTATTCCAGGAAAGCAAAGCAGGCCAACCCGCTACGTATGCAGAGTGTCCGCGAACCCTATGTATACGTAGCGGGTTGCACTGCGCCCCGCTACCTATACAATGGTTTTCCTGCATTATTGGTGCAATCCAAAGCCAGAATTTGTTACCCACATGCCCCTCAATCACCAAAAACACTTGCATAGGTAGCGGGGCGCAGTGCAACCCGCTAGCTATGCAGCCTATTGCAGCCTGTTTCCGCACCAAGCGCATAAGTAGCGGAGTGAGCTGAGCTAGACCTATGACATAGCTAGCGGGTTGACAAAAACCAGAGCTCAAAATGCTCTTGCCGCAAAAGGCTGCCAATTGCCAAATCACTCGAATCGCTGTCGCTTGCTAGGGCCTCCATCCGCCCCAAGCTTGTCCATCTCAGACTGCAAATGCTGCAAATTCTCCTTCGTGCAGCAGGGCTACACGCAAAGGCGGAGAGCGCTTCCTCGAAAAGGTTGGAAAATTCAGAAGGTTGAAGGTAAATACATTGGACTGATTGAGGACAAGCTTCCCTATCCATTGCCAAGTCCCCATCCCCACTAAACAAGCAATAACACCCCAGCCATAGGCAATCACCAACCATCATCTAGGACGGGGGTCACCACCGGTCTGGGAAGTTGCCCCTAGATCTCCACGAAAGTTCCCATGGAGATGTGAGGCATTTAATTCCAAAGCAGGCAGTCCAAACTGCATCCCAAATGGCCACACAGATTCAAAGTATCCACAAAAACATCCTCTGTCCTTAGCCTCCTCGATTCGGGCTGCCAAAAGGTCGCGCAAAGATTGCCGCAAGTGGTGCTCGTAGGAAACGAATGGTGAATCTGCCAAAGCAACCGATGCCTTTACAGCAGCCGCGCCCGCAATGAAATCGGACGAAGAGAAGGCCCAAAAGTCCTTAGCGAGGGGGCTGAGTTCATCGGTATGCAAAAGATCGTGAAAGATGTCCTTGCATCTACCTATTTGGATGCAAAACGCTGTTGCTCTACCTATTTGTTCTTTACACTAAGCAGCCCTCAAACTGAAACACACCTGGAAAAACATGGTTGTAGCAATGCCATGGTTCCCTCGATATCGGAAAATCAAACCATCCATGGAAATATGCAAAAAAATCGTTGTTTCAATGTGGGCTTGTGAACTTTCCAAGCCTGTGTTGGAAATCCCGGAACTGAGTATAGATTGCAAGAAGTAGCGCAATCGTGATTCATAAAACTCACCCTGCCCAATGTTGTCACAAGCCAGCCCCGTATCAAAAATGAAAACGGCTTCCATGCAACCAAGCGGCACTGAGAGGCGACTCTGCGAAGCGAACGTGGCGAAATTTGGCCACGAGATCCAGGTCAGGAGCACGCACCTTGTATAGGCGGTACGTGGCAGGATGACTTTGAAGATCGTTCGGCCTCAAAAGCGAAAGAAAAGACCCACTGCATAAGTTTGATAAACCGAAACAATACGCCCGATGATGGCATGAATGATGTTATTTGATTTCTGGACACTTTTCACTAGCTACTGGTTCCCAGAACCTATATTCAGGCACTGCCACGTGCCTGGATGCACCTTTTGAAATCAGGCACTTTGAAATATCTGTGCCTGGATCTCTTTGAACTTATATGAACTACCGGGAAACCCAGGAAGTCCTACACGCAGTTTTGAGAAATACCCCAGTTACAAACTGGCAGAAAAGCAAGGATTGGTTATCAAGCATAACCCAAGGATGCTAGGAAAGAGCGCGTTAAATCTGTATGCTGCAAGGCACTGGTCACTTTTGCCGCCGCACGCCGTGAATGCCAAGAGCGCGAGGGCTGTGGGCTCTGACAATGCCACGGCCTCAGCCAAGCTTGGAAGGTGCGACTCTCTCTATATGCGACCACTGGAACCACTCTGGGACATGGATTGTTTCACTGCAAATGGATCATGGCCCTTCAAATAGGTATGGATTGGGGGGGGTATATGGATCCGGGATATGTTTCGGCATGTATGCCCAGATGGATCAAAGCTTTGCTCACCAAGTCGCAGCAGATGCGTCCTCGCCAGCACGACGGCGCAGGCTGTTCTTCCAGAGCATGTCTGCCACAATGCCACCTGCATGGAAGAAAACAGGGCAATGCCCAGTTAAACGATATTGCCCACGGATATCCAATATCAAGGCAATTAGCGCGGTTAAGTCGTCAGGGCTTGAACGGCAACAGATTGAATTGTGATAATTGCCCCTCGGATTGTTCCGTTCGTCAGCCGGAAACATTGTTGAGCAGTGAAAAACAAAGCCAAGGGGCCCAACGTATCATCTTGCAGGAAATACATCGTGTGACGAAAATCCGTCCTGCTTTCCTCTGCCTGAGGCCAAAGGCATGGCAACAAAGGTACATAAATCTCTTTACAAGCTTAAAAATCGACAAAAAATCGACATTGCTGTTCTTCAACAAAAAGCCACCGCTTTTGACTTCTGCGTTGCAAGGGCAAAACTGTTCTCGACACGGGATGGTTAATGACAAGCCACCGGCATAGTAAACTCAATGCGAATATCGACTGGCCGCATGGCCACGGAGTACGGTGAAGCCTCAAAGCAAGCAGCCAAGGTCTCTTGATTTAGCGTGCTTCCTCCCCCATGTGCTTGTAACCCCCAAAAAAATCCTGTAGTTCAAGGTGCGCCCTTCACATTGCCTGGGATATGCCCCTCCAAACTTTTGAACCATCATTAAAGATCATCCCATTTTTGGTGGACAGGCCTTAGGACTATTAATCAGATCTACCCGTTATATATATCAGGTATGAGTATATATCGGTATAAGTTTGGCACCTACAAGTCAAAAGTGGCTCACGGAAAAAAGGAAGCTGCACTACCATACATGACAGATAACATCAACAGCAATATAATGCTAGACTATAACGTGTATATCTCTCGATGCCTCTTGGTTTTCCCCCTTGCCACCAAATATGTGCTGCTGGAATCCCTGAATGATTTTCTGGGGCCACCGTTTGCGGGTTAAAGATCTATGGCCGTCCCTCATCGCCACCTCTAGACTTTATAGACCTCCCGTCACCTCTGGACGTTGGTAGTTTTTTGTTTGCTGCCCTGGATGGTATCAAAATGGACGCAATGATGTGGGATGGGATGGCTTTGCAAAGGGTAAGAAAAAGATAAAGCACATTCTGATGGATTCGATATTAAAACAAAGGTATCAATAGAGATTATACGATGAATTTACATATAAGAAGACGATGAATTTACATATAAGAAGATTCATTACCACAATGTAATCCTCTAATGTTGATGAAACGGAGGCTAGCCAACCAAACTAGACGACGGTTGGCCCGAGAGCGAAAAACACGTCCTTCAAGCAGCTCTGAGTATGGTAGTCGTAAAAAATAGTCGGTGAATGGTTGGTGAATTTGATATGAGCTATGGAGGGGAAAGTTGTGAAATTACACACAGACGCTTTTACACACAAACACTTTCACAGACGCGTTTACACACAGAGACTTTTACACACAGACGCTTTTACACACAGACACTTTTACACGCAGACGCTCTTACACAGAAGCTTTTACACACAGACTCCTTTACACACAGACGCTTTCACAGACGCGTTTACACACAGAGACTTTTACACACAGACGCTTTTACACACAGACACTTTTACACGCAGACGCTTTTACACACAGAAGCTTTTACACGCAGATGCTTTTACACACAGAAGCTTTTATACACAGACACTTTTACACACAAACGCTTTTACACACAGACCCTTTTACACACAGACCCTTTTACACACAGACGCTTTTACACACAGAGGCTTTTACACGCAGATGCTTTTACACACACACACACTTTCATACACAGAGGCTTTTACACACAGAAGCTTTTGAAGAGTGTCTCTATATGACATTTTATGGTCCTGAACTCAAACTGTTCTGTTTTTGACATCAAGCACATGATGGCATCGAGCTCTGTTGCAAACGTTTGCAGACATTTCACTAGTGAAGTATTGTCACATGTGTCATTTACAGCATCATGGTACCGATCTTTTTTGGGCCAATTGTGTGGGATTTTCCATAATAAAATGAAATAACATGTGTCATACGCAGCATCATGGTACCGAGCTTTTTTGGGCCATTTATGTGGGATTTTCCATACTAAAATGAAATGACATGTGTCATACACGGCATCATGGTACCGAGCTTTTTTGATAGTTTCTGTGGGATATTCCCAGAATAAAATGAGATAACGCGTGTCATTTACTGCATTATGGTATTGGACCTTTTTGTTGTGCAAACGTTTGCAGACATTTCACTAGTGAAGTCTTGTCACATGTGTGATTTACAGCATCATGGTACCGATCTTTTTGGGCCATTTATGTGGGATTTTCCAGAAAAAATGAAATAACATCTGTCATGCACGGCATCATGGTACTGAGCGTTTTTGGGCCATTTATGTGGGATTTTCCATAATAAAATGAAATAACCTGTGTCATACACAGAGGCTTTTACACACAAACGCTTTTACACGCAGATGCTTTTACACACACACACACTTTCACACACAAACGCTTTTACACACAGATGCTTTTACACACAGAGGCTTTTACACACAGACGCTTTTACACACAGACGCTTTTACACACAGACACTTTTACACACAGACACTTTTACCCACAGAAGCTTTTACACACAAACACACACACACACGCTTTTATTTTACACACACGACACACGCACACACTTTCACACACAGAGGCTTTTACACACAGACGCTTACACAGAGACTTTTACACACAGAAGCTTTTACACCCACACACACAAACATACACACACACACACGCTTTTCTTGTACACACACACACACTTTCACACACAGAGGCTTTTACACACAGACGCTTACACAGAGACTTTTACACACAGACGCTTTTACACACAAACGCTTTTACACAAAGACGCTTTTACACACAGAAGCTTTTACACACAGACTCCTTTACACACAGACGCTTTTACACACAGAAGCTTTTACACACAGACACTTTTACACACAGATGCTCTTACACAGAAGCTTTTACACACAGACTCCTTTACACACAGACGCTTTTACACACAAACGCTTTTACACACAGAAGCTTTTACACAAAGGCGCTTTTACACACAGACTCCTTTACACACAGAGCTTTTACACACAGAAGCTTTTACACACAGACGCTTTTACACACAGACGCTTTTACACACAGACGCTCTTACACACAAACACTTTCACACACAGAGGCTTTTACACACAAAGCTCTTACACACAGAGGCTTTTACACACAGAAGCTTTTACACACAGGCGCTTTTACACACAGACGCTTTTACACACAGACGCTTTTACACACAGACGATTTTACACACAGACGCTTTTACTCACAGACGCTTTTACACACAGACCCTTTTACACACAGACACTTTTACACACAGACACTTTTACACAAAGAAGCTGTTACACACAGACTTTTACACACAGACGCTTTACACAGAAGCTTTTACACACAGACTCCTTTACACACAGACGCTTTTACACACAGACGCTTTTACACACCGAAGCTTTTACACACAGACGCTTTTACACACAGACGCTTTTACACACAGACGCTTTTACACACAAACGCTTTTACACACAGACGCTTTTTGCACACAGACGCTTTTACACACACACACACTTACACACACACACAAACTTTCACACACAGAGGCTACTACACAGAGGCTTTTGCACACAGAAGCTTTTACAATCTTTTACACACAGACTCCTTTACACACAGACGCTTTTACACACAAACGCTTTTACACACAGGCGCTTTTACACACAGGCGCTTTTACACACAGACTCCTTTACACACAGACGCTTTTACACACAGAAGCTTTTACACACAGACGCTTTTACACACAGACGCTTTTACACACAGACACTCTTACACACAAACACTTTCACACACAGAGGCTTTTACACACAGAAGCTCTTACACACAGAAGCTTTTACACACAGACACTTTTACACACAGACGCTCTTACACACAGAAGCTTTTACATAGAGACTTTTACACACAGACACTTTTACCAACAGAAGCTTGTACACACACACGCACACACACACACACGCTTTTCTTTTACGCACACACACACACAGAGGCTTTTACACACAGATGCTTGCACAGGGACTTTTACACACAGACGCTTTTACACACAAACACTTTCACACACAGAGGCTTTTACACACAGAAGCCTTTACAAAGAGACTCCTTTACACACAAACGCTTTTACACACAGACACTTTTACACACAGACACTTTTACACACAGACTCCTCTACACAGAGAGGCTTTTACACACGGAAACTTTTACACACAGACACTTTTACACACAGACACTTTTACACAAAGAGGCTTTTACACACAGACGCTTTTACACACAGACACTTTTACACACAGACGCTTTTGCACAAACGCTTTTACACACAGACTCTTTTGTACACAGACGCTTTTACACACAGACGATTTTACACACAGACGCTTTACACACACAAAAGCTTTTACACACAAACGCTTTTACACACAGAAGCTTTTACACACAGACACTTTTACACACAGACGCTTTTACACACAGACCCTTTTACACACAAACACTTTCACACACAGAAGCGTTTACACACAGACTCCTTTACACACAGACGCTTTTACACACAGAAGCTTTTACACACAGAAGATTTTACACAAAAACAAAACTTTCACACACAGACGCTTTTACACAGAGGCTTTTACACAGAGGCTTTGACACACAGAGGCTTTTACACACAGACGCTTTTACACACAACAGACACTTACACAGACACTTTGAAACACAGACGCTTTTACACACAGACGCTTTTACACACAGACCCTTTTACACACAGACACTTTTACACACAAACACTTTGACACACAGACGCTTTTACACACAGATGCTTTTACACACAGATACTTTTACACACAGAGGTTTTTACACACAGAGGCTTTTACACACAGACACTTTTACACAGACGAAAGCGTTGCGATTGACTAAGAAAAATCGCAATTTTTCTTCAATTTTTGACGTCCAACGTCCATTTCGTGCGAAAGGGTTACGATTGAGCAAGTAAAATCGCAATTTTTCCTCAATTTTTGACGTCCAACATCCATTTCGTGCGAAAGGGTTACGATTGACCAAGTAAAATCGCATTTTTTCTCCAATTTTTGACGTCCAACGTCCATTTCGTGTGTAAGGGTTGCGATTGACAACTCAAAGCCGCAATTTTTCCTCAGTTTTTGACGTCCAACGTCCATTTCGTGCGTAAGGGTTGCGCGGGACACCTCAAAGTCGCAATTTTTCCTCAGTTTTTGACGTCCAACGTCCATTTCGTGCGAAAAGGTTGCGCGGGACACCTCAAAGTCGCAATTTTTCCTCAGTTTTTGACGTCCAACGTCCATTTCGTGCGAAAAGGTTGCGCGCGACCAATAAAAGTTGCAATTTTTCCTCAGTTTTTGACGTCCAACTTCAACGTCCATTTCGTGCGAAAGGGTTGCGCGCGACCAATAAAAGTTGCAATTTTTCCTCAGTTTTTGACGTCCAACGTCCATTTCGTGCGAAATGGTTGCCGGGGACGCTTCAAAATCGCAATTTTACCTAGGTTTTGGACGTCCAACGTGCATTTCGTGCGAAAGAGTTGCGTTTCGTGGCGCTCCGGCGGCACCGCCCCCGCCTTATGAGAGAATAGAAGAAGAGCGAGAGGAGATCTGCAGATGTGAAGGTGTGAAGATCTAGATCTGCAGGTGTGAGGGTGTGAAGATCTAGATCTGCAGGTGTGAGGGTGTGATGATGTAGATCTGCAGATGTGAGTGAGGGTGTGAAGATCTAGATCTGCAGGTGTGAGGATGTGAAGATCTAGATCTGCAGGTGTGAGGGTGTGAAGATCTAGATCTGCAGGTGTGAGGGTGTGAAGATCTAGATCTGCAGATGTGAGGGTGTGAAGATCTAGATCTGCAGATGTGAGGGGTGAAGATCTAGATCTGCAGGTGTGAAGGTGTGAAGATCTAGATCTGCAGGTGTGAGGGTGTGAAGATCTAGATCTGCAGGTGTGAAGGTGTGAAGATGTAGATCTGCAGATGTGAAGGTGTGAAGATCTAAATCTGCAGATGTGAAGGTGTGAAGATCTAGATCTGCAGATGTGAAGGTGTGAAGATCTAGATCTGCAGGTGTGAAGGTGTGAAGATCTAGATCAGCAGATGTGAAGGTGTGAAGATGTAGATCAGCAGATGTGAAGGTGTGAAGATGTAGTATAACGGCTGCTTTTTTACGAAGAACCCTTCGCAGGCGCTCTTGGATCTGTGACCCTCACCTACTTTCAAGGGATAGAACAGTTGTACACAAGAAGGCCAACAGCCTTGAGGGGGAACTCAAATTGTCGACAAGCCTGGTGTTGTTCAGACATCTTGCTTCAATTGCATGAGAAGACACCCATCGGGGTGCTTCCAAATGTCTAAAGGCTGCAAGCAGACAACCAAGATGTGGGGATGTGAATCAAGAAGAACAGGGGAAGAGTGCGAACAACAAAAGGGAATAGATAGAGCATCGGAAACACGTAAGAGACAATAACACTCAGACTTGAATGGTGGGACAATGTGCAGGAACGGTTTTACGCAGAATTTTTCCCTTAAATCCATCCATTTCGTGGATTATTGCTGGTTAACATTTCATTTTTGATGGTAGTTATTCCATGTTATTCCGAGTTCTTCCCACATATTATTACCAATTTTTGTGGGATATTCACCAACCATCACCAACCATTTTTCGTAGACACCAGCTGCATTCCACCGGTATCTTCCCTGCAGGAGAGCGAGTACAGCATGCCTTTGGCGCAGTCCTTTCAGAGGTGACGCCTGGGAGCGTTGTTGCTGGAAGCTTGGAAGATGGGACGTGACATATGATTGATGAGATGGTTACTGGGATATGTAATACGTAAATGTGATATAAATGGGATACACATGGGATATAAATGGGATATTACTTGGATATTTATGGGTAAATTACAACGACCTCACGTCGCGACCTCATTGGAATGATTATTAGTAATCATCGCCCAAATAGCCGAACTTTGCAGGTCAGTGAATTACTATTTACCCAGACATATGATTGATGGACAGCTTATTTCCCCATATTTTTCCATATTTGATGGTTACCCTCTGGTAAACTAACATAGCTATGGAAAATCACAAATTTTAATGGAAAAATCAACTATTTCTATGGCCATTTTCAATGGGTAACCATGCCACAGAATATTAGAGGGGAAAATCACCCAGGGCTTTTCCATTGCCGGGGCTTGATTGCGGGAGGGTAATGATGCCTCGAAACGCAAATCGAAGGACGTTGTAGGTTGGCCCGAAAACCCATAGGAAAGTAATTTTTTGGATGTCACTTTTCGATCTTTTCAGGGTTAGTATGTGTATAACAGTTTCTTTGGATCAACTGTCAACTGGTGCTCATCCTTTTCCAGGTTTCGTAAAGTTGAAGAGTTTCGTTTTCCTCAAGACACGTCATCCTGGCGTAGGAGCAACTTGGAAGAGGTGACATCCAGGGCTGAGAGGTGTTGGATTTGTGACAGGCGATGCAGGGAATCTGCCGTGCCTTTGGGGTCTGGTTTGGGGAAGCTGGTACAAACTGTGAAGCAACTCAGAGGTTTGGGGGTATTTCTCGTATTTGGCATCCAATTTGGGGTAGCCGAAAATTGACCCACAGCCATATCAGCTTCAAAATCTGTCAAAACACATGAGTGCGAATGACATGATGATGACGAAGATGATGATGATGCTGATGATGATTATTATTTTTATTTGATAGCATGGGTCTGACGGCACTGATTCCAGGGTGTTCGTGCTCCTGACCTGGAGGTACCAACCGGCCAAGATTGTGTGGACGCCTGCCATATCCAGCAACCTCAACGAGGATGAGGCCTGCTGCTGGGAAACCCCTGGCCACGGAGGTTTGTAGCTGGGAAAATCATCGAACTAAATGCCATTTGGGAAAACCAATATTAATGATAACAACAATAGTAATACTAGTAATCCTAGTAATCCTAGTAATCATATTAATCATAGTAATCATAGTAATAATAGTATTCATAGTAGTCATAGTACTCATAGTAACCATAATAATCATAGTAATCATAGCAATCATAGTAATCATAGTAATCATAGTAATCATAGTAATCATAGTATTCATAGTAGTCATAGTAATCATAGTATATAATCATAGTAATCATAGCAATCATAGTAATCATAGTAATCATAGTAATCATAGCAATCATAGTAATCATAGTAATCATAGTAGTCATAGTAATCATAGCCATCATCATCATCATCATCATCATCATCATGATCATGATGTTTGATTATCGGAGGGTAATTGACCAGCCATCAACAGGATTTACATTCACAGCCCTCTGTGTGCGGGGTTTGTTGGTTGAATTATGTTTGCTTCCAAAGTTTTTTCCCCTGTCTTGACAGATATTTAAACCATCATTTTGTTGGCAACATCGGATGATTATGTCCGAACATTTGGCATACCCTCCTCCAATTTATTGGCAATTTTGCTGGGGATATACCATGATATACCCCCAATTTTAAATGAGAGAATGATGGTCAACCAGTGGATGCAATGGCTGGGTTTTCCCAAATGCACTTTGAGGTGATCTTCGTTCATGCCTATGTGAGTGGGGGTGCCCTAGAACTTGGCTCTCCGTGCCTGGTTTTTTCTAATGATTTTCATAGTTTGGCAACAAGAACTTGAGATTTAACTTGGAAAAGATGGGGGATTTCCTTCATCTGGTTTTGTTGAAACAAATGGGGATATATCCGACCGATTTTCACAGAATTTTGGGGTAGCCTATTCTCAGACAGCTCCCAATGTCCAGGAAACCAGTGGCACAATCTGTCAGGGCTTCGCAGTGTTTGTTCAACAATATGGTGAGAAATGGGGAGAATACATCATATCTGGGTAAATTATAACGACCTCACTGCCACCTCACTGGAATCATGGCTAGTAAGGGACAGCATCCCCAAATGGCCTTAATTCAGGATAGTGAAATATTATAATTTACCCAGATCATATACTGTATACGTTCAAACTGTGAGAAGAAAGTTGGCTGTCCGGCAGGACAATCCGCGGAAAGACAACAACTTTAATCCGGTAAAGTTTCGCACCACTATAAGTGCCCTGTAAAGACAATAGCGTGTCGCAAAATTATGCATGCGAAGAATGGATTTCACGTGTGTAACGCCAAAGTGAATGATTCACAGTGATATACACTGCGGAAATAAACTATTATGAAACTTCTTTCGTTGAAACTTATTGCAGACTCAGCTCTCACACGCGTCCCTCTTCCACTAACCCCAGGTCTTCAACAACAAGCATTAGGAACAAGCACATTACAAATAAACAGCAACACAACAGGGCATGGACAGTAGTGCGGAAGCGGGCATGGCCACTTGATGTAAGTCAGATGTAGTATGTAGCAGCCCAGAGCTCACCCAAGAGCTTGAGATTGCTGCCAGAAACCGCATCCCAAACACGCAAGCGGATTCACCAGATCAAACGGGAGAATTTTTGCAGGTTGCCCCAATTTTGATTCCAGGCGAATATGGGAAATTGCGTATCCACAAAGATGTCACCTTGCTCACTTTGCTGCGATTGTGGAACTACCAGATTGGTCCTGATTTCCCGATTTCCCATCAAGACTTGGAGTGTTCAATTATGCAATTGTTCTCCGAATCACATGTCATGCTCATGCCTCTTGCTCCAGAGATCCAGGAGATGCTGACACAAACAGCCCTTGCACGACCTGATGCAAACACAATCATCTTGCACCGATCCAGCACTGATTTGAGCATGTATGAAGTTGCTCATGGAAAGACATGGCGCATGGTGAAGCAGACCTTTCCAGACCTTCAATCAGCCCAATATGAATTGTTTGGAGATTTGCAGGAATCCACTCTTTTCACGAGGGACACAGAGATCCATGATCAGGTTGCACCCTTTCAGGTGCCAGCACTTGCACAGACAGTTCTGAGGCAATTGCACGATGTAACCTTTGAAGTGGTTTGTCCTCCGAAAACTGATATCCTGATTCTCCATTGCGAAGGATCCCAGCAAGCCCGTGAAGCATTCCTTCAGTTTTGGGGCACGGAAGACCACCGCCGATGGATGTTGCAAGTAGGAAGGCAAATGAATTACCAGTCCATTGATGATCGTACCTGGAGGGTGTTTTTTCGACCGGCACTTCCGGAAGCAGCCATGCCAATTGCGATTTTTCGTGATGCACTGTTTTGGAATGCTGTTCGCACTCTTTTCATGTCCATGCACACTGCAGAGGGTCTTCCAGTCAAGATCAAACTGTTTGGTCGTACGCTCTGTCAGGTGTCCCTGAGCTTTGATTTAGCTTGTGAGACCTTTTTGCTGGCCCTTCAGCACATCCGACAGTTGCATCCCAGAAGAGGCAATCCGAGCCTTCATGCATCCGGAAAACGCTGTGGGGACATTTGCACCATCCGAGACATCCACAGCCGACTCACTGGCACATCAACAGTCCCTGTTTTGCATATCGGCATGCCAATTTCGGGGGGGGACCGACCACCAAGCATCCCACTTCCAAGATGGACTTTCACAAATTGGTGCAATCTGAAGTTGCCAACCGATTTCTTCAGTATGGTTTGGATTTGCCTCAAGTAACAGATTCCACTTCCAAGTTGATTGAAAAGGTAGGCCTTGCCAGACTTCATCATATGATCCATGAAGAATCACAGCCTGAAAAGGAACAAAGCTTTCGACGATTGTGCGAGTCGGCAAGCATTGCCCTGCCGAAGCATGGCCCTAGGATGCATCTGGTTTCAGGTAAGTACCAGAAGCTTCGATCACAGCGAACCCATGCAGCGACAGCCAAGATCGACCCAGCAAAGTATCAGCTGACTGAAGGTTTTTTCGTCAATGCTGACAAAACTCCTACGCCAATTTTGAGTCAATTTTCATGGCAGAGCACAGGGGTTGTTCTTTTGACAGCCGAACAGGCACTTCCAATCATGACCATTGCTACCGCAACTGTTCCAGATGAACTTGCCATTTATGTGCCAGGTGATTTTGCAGTCCCCGCCAAATTTCATCATTTCCACACCAATGCACCAGCAGTTGATGATCTTGGGCGCCAAGTCCTGCTTACAGGCCAACTCATCCAGTTTGGATCAAGACATATTCAGACCAATGTCCTTCCTGACCAAATCACTACCAAGGAAGTCCAAGTCCTAGCAGTGACTTTGTGGAAAGAGGATTTTGACCCCCCTACATGGGAGCGTATCAAGTCGGCCCCAGTGAAAACGACCAGAGATTTGCTAATGTTGGAGGGCTATGGGGAATTGATGTCAAAGCCATGGGGCCGAGCCTATAGGGCTAAGGGCAAACCAGTGCCTCCGGAACACGCTGAGTCGATCCAGTTCCATGCAGAGTTCCAACGTTGTCCCCGCCTGAATGCATTGCTTCGGATTTCCGGTTTCAATAGAATATATTTGACTCCAAAATTGGCTGATGGACAAATTGATTCTGCCTGGAAAGTGATATGGATTCAGGGGACGTCACAACACATCGAAAGCCTCTCTGCTCAGATTGATGGAGCCGCTGGACTTCTGCGCAGTACCAAGTCATTTGGACTTCGGGTTGAAGCAGGATCTTTTGCCACAGCCTGGTTACGCCTCAAACCTGACCAAGAAGCACCAGATGTCAGACAGCGCAAGCATACATTCCGACTTCAACCTCTGCCTGTGGGCACAGACAAAGACATTTTGGCCAAATGGGCAGCTCAGGTGCAATGGGACATTCGCCCGCTCCGATCCATTGGAGCCAAGACATGGCTGGTTGCAGCCGGTGAGCCACCACCGCCATTGCTTTGCTTCAATACCCAACCATTGCTGGTTCAAAAGGTCACCCAAAAGACCATGCACAACTCAGGTGATATCATTGCGGGCCCACGACAACCCCCGGCGACCAAGCCAGGGGCGCAGACGGCACATCCCAAGCTAAATGTTTTCTTTGAAGGAGATCCCCACATGGACCCTTGGGCACCCGAGAAGAAAGAGCATTTAGAATCAAAACTCACAGGTAGTGAAGCTGCAGTCTCAGCACCTAGCCGATCCTTGCCGGGCCCTGTTAGCGATCAGTTCCAACAACAAGGCAGCCGACTTCAAGCGCTTGAAACAGCAGTTGCGAAGCTTCATGAAGACCAATTGAAGTTTGCCTCAACTACTGACCAAAAGATTTCGCAGGTTTCTGACCAACTCCACAAGCACATGGGAGACACCAAGAATAGCATTGAGCATTTGCACAAGGAACAGCTCAGCATGACACAATCCATCGCCCAAGCCCTGCAGAGACAAGATGACAGACTTGCTTCAAGCATGGATGAATTGAAGTTCTTGTTCTTGCAGACCAGAGGAATCAAGCGCAATAATAACGGAGAGCTGGACGAACCAGACGAGTCATTGGAGTGAAGACGTCTTGTGCCGAGACCCAGAGCCATTTTGGCCAGTCGCAATCCTTTTTGTCATGCCCATGATTCCGTTTTTGACCAAAGACACAATTGCCCAGCAATCCAATGCGATCTCACTTCATTGGAATTTTGTTATGCTGTGCTCCCAATCAAGTACTTTGGTTTGCGTGAGAACTATCATAGGCTAATTCCTTTTTCATTGCAACAATGCCTTACACAGCGAAGCCTGTCTTTGTTAATTTGGGGTGACGTACCAAGTCCTCATCCAATGCATGCTTGTAGAATAGGAGAGGCCAAAAATCCAGGACCGGACATACCAGATGATTCTGATTCAGACCTTGTGACTTTTGCTATCACCAACCCCACAGCAGTTCATCAGAAAGCTGCTGATTTGGCCCTGCTGAAAGCGGACTGCCTGATCCTTTCAGAAACCAGTGCCACGAGCTTAGTCCAGTCTGCAGCTTCATCTGAATTTCGTGCCCATGGCTACAAGACCATCTGGGGTGCACCTGTGCCCCAGCAACTTAAGCAAGGGGACCCAAATAGCTTTAGAGGGGCTGCTATTGGCGTTTCTTTCCATAGTAAGTTGCCAATCCGACCTGCCCGAAGTAGCCTGGGGTCCGAATGGTATGATGCAGGACGTTTCCAACACGTCTTTCTCAGATTGCCCACTCTTGAGATCCAAATATGCAACTTGTACGGAATACCGGCATCAGTTGCATCGGCCAAAGCCCGTACCAATACCCTATTGCAATTTGCACACCAGACAGTCAGGCAAAGCACATTTCCTGCCATGATAGTTGGTGATCTCAACCAGCATCCTGACACACTAGATGAGATGACTTCTCTCCGCAGTGAGGGTTATCGATCTATGGAGGAGCTCTATCGGTCATTGTATGGACAGGAACTCCCCCCGACCTTTGGGGATGCGACCAGAAACGATGTTTGTCTCATACACCCCATATTAGCTGTTATGGTACATGATATCTGGATCGACCAACAACACCTTGTCACTGGTCACAACCCATTGTGCTTTAGATTGAGGGTGCCTACCCGAGAAATTACCAGACAATCATGGAATCTTCCCACACCGTGGGTTCATCTCCAGCCCAAAACAGCTTTGATTGGGGAGTGCTATGCCTCAGTTTTTGATCCCACTGGAGCCACTCTTCTTGGAGATACCCGAGCAGATGAGCATCCGATCCAAATATGGACCAACGCTGTCGAAAATGCAGTCCATGAGGCGCTCCGAAAGGAACATCAAGCTGACCCTCTGACCCAACCGTGGTCAAGTCTTCCGAGAAGGCATAGAGGTCGTTGTAAACCCAGGTCTTTAGTTCGCACCCCACTCCCAAGGTCCATAAAGACTGCCTGTGATGGCCAATATACTCCAGATGTTGACCAGCCCACCATGCATTTGCGACAAATCACTAGACAAATGAGACGCATTCAATCGCTGAAACAGCGCATCCGAAAAATTGAAATTGTACCGCCTAGCTCAACCACTATTGAGCAGCTTCACCAGGAATGGACATGCATCCTCCAATCTACAGGATACCACCATGGGTTTTGCCACTGGATGCGACAATTCCCAGAGCTACTCCCCATACCTTATTCCGTGCCATCGTTTGAGTTCCTTTATTTGCTTGAACAGCTCCATCGATTCCATCTTGATCAGGTCGCCTATGACCATAAGGTGCGACTTCAAAAGCTTCAACAGTACCAGCAAGATTTAGATAGCAAAAGATTCGGGCGATCAGATGCTTTCAGAAGAATCAGAGAGTCCTCACCAGGTTTGGTGGGTGTCCTGTCCAAAGAACATAGAGTTCCTGCCACCATGGTGTCACCACCAACATATGGGTTAGCCACGTTCTCATTAGGCCATCACATGGAGTTTGACTTCACCCAGCCAGTTTTTATTAATCAGCATGCATGCACAATAGTCCAGACTGATGGTTTTCAACTGGAAGTCATGATTCATGATGAGGTTGGCACCTTTCCAGATACTGTGGAAGTGATGCAGCCACGAGACACTGCTGAACCCAAAGAAGTGGCGGACCAACTTTCCATTTACTGGCGACAGTTTTGGAATCGAGACAGTTCTGGATCCCAGCATAATCTTGATCATTGGGAAGCCTTTGAAGCTCTTCGCCGTCAGATTCCCCCCAAACAGATTCTGACAGTTGATGTCACTAGTGTAGAGTTGCTTCAGACAGCCATTGCACAGATGTCATCCACCACCTCTAGAGGTTGTTGTGGTTGGTCTTCAGATGAACTCAAAGATTTGCCTGTCAATTGTGTGCGTGACCTTTTGCATCTATTCAACCTCATTCAAGAGGAGGGATTTCCTGACTGGATGATGCAAGCTCGAGTTCTGCCTGTCGCTAAGCACCACAAAGCTAACATGGCAAAGGCCACCCGGCCTATCACAGTACTTTCCTTACTGTACCGGTTGTACAGTAAATGGACCTCTAGACAAATTTTGCAAGCATGGACCCGCACACTCCCTGAATCAATTACTGGATTTCTGCCGGGACGAAGCTCCCACAAGCTGATATATGAGATGCAGCTTGCACTTGAAGCGACCAACCATGGACATTCTCACCTGCATTGGGGGGGTTTAACACTTGATATCATAAAAGCCTTTAACACCTTGCCACATTTACCACTTTGCCAACTACTCATCCATTTTGGAGTTCCACCTGCCCTGGTAAGAGCATGGATCTCATCCATTCAAAAAATGATCCGATACTGGCAGATTGACTCCCAGCTGTTTGTAGTGCCAGCTGCCACCACAGGAGTGCCCGAAGGTGATGCTTGGAGTGTTGTAGCCATGTTGGCTGTAAATATCTTCATGGTAACCTTAATGGCCCCACATGCTCAACGTTTGAATGCATTTGCAGATAATTGGAGTTACTCTACCACTGATCCAACGCAACATCTACCCGCCATGGCCACCCTCACGCAGATTGCTGAAGCATTGTCCATTGGAATTGATTGGGGGAAAACTTGGGCTTGGGGCACCTCTCAGCCGCATCAAGAGGCTTTGCAGGCTGCTAAGGACTCTGTTTTAGCTCCAGAAGTACAATTGCAGTTGGTCACACATGCCAGGGACTTGGGCTACATAATGCATTATCGTCTCGCGCCCTTTCGAGGCACACAGAAGGAAAGACATAAGCAGGCCTTGGCCAGACTGCACAGATTGCGTAAGGCTGATATTTCTGTTCAAGATAAAGCATATGTAGCGATGGCATCTGCCGTGACTAAGGCCCTGTATGGGACCCACATGTATCTGGTTGGCGAGGAGTATTTCTCCCACCTTAGATCCAAAATTGCCACGGCCATGCTGGGCTCTCACCATAATATCCAAAGCCATATAGCATGCAGCTGCCTTTCCCCAACCTTGGTAGATCCTGAGCTTTGGGTTATCCAGAATGCCATTAAAGAAGCCAGACTCTTCCTGCTACAAGCTGACCCTGCCTTGGTAAGCCTTTTTCTCCGCATGGCAGCCCACCATCAAGTTAGGTATAATTTGATAGTAGGACCTGCAATGGCGCTGAGCGCCTACTTGGCTAAACTTGGCTGGACCATTGACCAGCAGGGATGTATCCATTGCCCCAATTTCAACCACCTTCATTTGATCCACTGCAACCAAGAAGAGTTGATGCTGGCCACTGAACGTGCGTGGATGGAACATGTTTCCCTTTGTGTTAGCAATCGCCATCACCTCCGTAACTTGCCACGTATTGACAATCGTGCAACCGTAAAAATTTTCCAAGCTGTCCCACCGGAAAAGCAGAGAAGCGTAGGTCTTGACCTTTGTATGGGATACATGGTGAATGAACAAAAAGCACATTTTGATGAATTTCAGGACACTCACTGCCAATTCTGTGACCAAGCGGATACGGTGATGCATAGGGTTTTGCACTGCCAAGCCACGCAAGTGGTAAGAGCGAAATATCCTGCAGTGTGTGATTTCTTGCAAGACCATGACATGATTCATACGTTACTCCCGGCAGCTTATGCAGATCCAGAGGTGGACTTTCACTCTTTTGTTTTTGAAAAGTATCCTGAACCTCTATGCCAGCCATTGCCATATACCCCCAGGTTTCTTTTTACAGATGGATCCTGTAAGATGCCAGCCAGCCCAAACCATAGATGGGCGTCCTACGCAGTAGTTGCTACTCCATATGACCTCTCGCAAGTGCCTTGTGAACGATTAAATGATGCTTCATGGTTGCTGCAGAACACTTTCGACACAGTCGCAGTGTCACATGTTACTGGCCTCCAAACAATTCCTCGTGCAGAGCTTATGGCTGCAACTCTTGCTCAGGAAATGCAGTTGCAGGTGCCTGTAGTAACAGACTCACAATACGTCATGTACGTGCATCATTTGATTGAACAGACTCCATACGTTTGGAAATTAGCCAAGAAAAAGAATTTTGACCTTCTGCGCAGATTGCATGCTCTGCATTGGGATCAACGTATGGATATTCCAATTCTCAAGGTGAAAGCTCACCAAAAAATTAGTCGAGAAGACCCAAATGCTTTCATGAAGCTTGGTAACATGGTTGCTGATTGTGCTGCTACGCAGACCCAGGAACATTTGGCACGCCATTTTACGACCAATCTAGCCCGGCTTGCCCACGAAAGTAAGCAGATGAAAGATATGCTTTGCCAACATCTGACCATGCGAGCAGAATTGGCAGAGTTACGCAAACGTTTGGAAACAGAAACCGTCCAGACAGAGACAGTTGAGCCTAAGGCGAACTTCTTTAAGCAATATGTTGTGAATAACCCAGTTAAGTACACTTTTACACTTGACCAGTTTGAACATGTCCATGCTTCTCGGTTTGGCTCTCGCTACAGTGCACTGGTACTGGAATGGCTGCAGACCTTGGAATGGCCAACTCATCCTGACCGACAAAAGCCTCCGGTGGGGGTGACGTGGCTGGAACTAGCATGTAACTTCATGATCACGACACAGCATAGCTTGAAGATAAATGTTTCTCCTCATGGACAGCCTACGAAATACTCATGCATGGAAGAGGACATTACATTGGACCATACTGTACATTGTTTTTCCTTGGCGACGAACGCACTACGAGATTGTATAGCTCATCTGGGCTTTCTTTTGCAGACAGACCTTCTTCCAACTCTGAAGCCGCAGAAAGTCACTTCACTTAGGAAAATGGGTGGCAACGCCACCAAGCAGGGCATTGCTTTCAGACCGGTAATGAAACGTCAAAGTGAGACAGTTGATTTACTTGTGGCGTATTTTGAACAGCAACAGGGTAGCCGAAATTTCACCAAGTGGCCGAATATCCCGTACAGTGAACCGTGTGTTCAGACAACCGTACAGGGTCCAAATGAGGATAATCAGGAGGACCGGAACCGCCGGTATAATGCCAGGCGAAGAGACATACGCCTGTCCAGACAAGCAACGTGAACTTGATTGTGTTATCACCCATTTGTGTTGTGAGACTCCGAGGTTCTTATTTGGATTTTGATTACCTCTGTTGCTGATCTTGTTGTGATGCTTGTCTTCTCAGGACTAGACTTCAGTTTCTAAGGACATGGACAGGTTCGTCCTTGCACATGCGGGGGACGGGCCGCGGAGCGCAAGTGGGTGGCCTTAATTCAGGATAGTGAAATATTATAATTTACCCAGATCATATACTGTATACGTTCAAACTGTGAGAAGAAAGTTGGCTGTCCGGCAGGACAATCCGCGGAAAGACAACAACTTTAATCCGGTAAAGTTTCGCACCACTATAAGTGCCCTGTAAAGACAATAGCGTGTCGCAAAATTATGCATGCGAAGAATGGATTTCACGTGTGTAACGCCAAAGTGAATGATTCACAGTGATATACACTGCGGAAATAAACTATTATGAAACTTCTTTCGTTGAAACTTATTGCAGACTCAGCTCTCACACGCGTCCCTCTTCCACTAACCCCAGGTCTTCAACAACAAGCATTAGGAACAAACACATTACAAATAAACAGCAACACAACAGGGCATGGACAGTAGTGCGGAAGCGGGCATGGCCACTTGATGTAAGTCAGATGTAGTATGTAGCGGTGTTGTAGCAGTGTTGTAGCAGTGTTGTAGCAGTGTTGCAATGTGATTTCCCTTACGCTTGCATTTTGATTCCTTCGGTACTGCTTATTGCAAGTTTTTTTTTGTGTTGCCATATTGGTACAAACCTGTGATTTGTAGCTGTTTCATGCTGTTTCCATCCTTTCTCCACCCTGGGGCAATGGTCCGACCAGTTTGCGTTCGTTGGGCCACCATATTTCTGCCTGTCCTCTTGCTACGGTGGCCACTCACATTGACTCCAAGCATCTCTGCCCCCAGAACAACGCCATGTTGGGGCGTGTTTGTTACGCAAGGAGATGGCAGGTGTTGTTCAGCGCAGAAATTTAAATTCCAAACGATTGAGGATGCGGTGCGTTATGCAGACACATGGACCATGCGAGGTCGTGAGTTCAAGGGCGAAAGCATCTCATCAGAATGGATTGAAGATGATCCGGAAATGGAGTACAACCTGGTACGTGGGGGCGAAGATGTTGTCTACTACAGGTTTGTTCTTGCGGATGGTACAAATGATCTCCTGACAGGGGACTACCTTTTTGATGGCTACGGCTACGCATTGCGCATTTACATTAAACCTATCGATCCCACGCTGTATCCTTGGGGTGACATATTTTAAGCATCTTCCAGAGCACATTCAAAGCGTTTATGGCTTGTGTAGCTTCGTCTCACTCCCTATATTGCATTTCATTTTGAGTACGCCCATTTCTTGCGATGATCGCGATGTTTCACAGGTGAAAAATCAATTGTAGCACTTACAGGTGCCATTCTTGTTCACGAAAATGCACGGGGTGGGTCTTGGGGTTGATTGTCATTAAGTTTGCCCATATATATATATATATATAATTGCTCACATTTTTCTTGAGAAAGAATCTGGGCAAGGTTAAACTGCTAGAATTTTACACGATGACTTCTTGAAGGGATGCATTGTTTCGATTTATTCATGTTGATTGATGGCAATGCTGTTTCATGTTTGAGCAGCGCATTTTTTCAGAAAGACAAGTCTTTGTTAAGATATTGGATTTGCATTAGATCATGGTTGGTTGTTATGACGTTTTCCGACAGACTTTTGTGTATTGCTTATGTTGAATGTCTGGTTGGTGGTTTCAAACATTTTTTATTTTCCATCATATATGGGATAATCATCCCAACTGACCAATATTTTTCAGAGGGGTTGAAACCACCAACCAGATGTTTGTTTTACGGGGTTGTGATGACAGTTTGCTGCGAGATGACGTCGAGGTTCGGATGATTTTCACCGGCCCACCCTTCTGAAGAGAGTCACGGCGGAGAATCAGGCGCGGCATCTTTGGATGGATCAGGGCGAATCTACGACTGCCAATGATGTTTTAACTGACCATCTGTTGGGCAGACAATAAACACATCACTCCGGCGTTGCCACAGGGAGTTCATGAATTTCAGCTGGGATCTTCTCGGCAGCCAGGCGGCTCGCTTTGTGGGATACCGCATGGTGCCAAAGGTGCAAGAGGCGCCGCGGATGACGAAGAGTTGAAGCGAGATAGGGATAGCTGAGAGATACCAGCTGTTTTGCTGAAACATGGCTGGGAAAATGCCCTTTTTTAATGTGAATTTTGGAGATATCAATGGAGCTTTCCAAGTGGAAAAATCCTCTAGAAATGGAGGATTTTCAATGGGCACGTTTGATCACCGGAGGGTGTTCGGGACGAATCCACTGATTTTGGGATCTACCCTATGACTAATGGCCTGGTTCGATGATTTATCCATTAAAGGTGATGAATAAATCCATTCACTATGGGGATACCAGGGTGATGGGTCACTACCAATGATTTTCCCTCTGATTTGGGGAGATGAAAACCACGGTGTCGGTAGGGAAAGACACAGCTTCAGCTGACACAAGGGCTTGATGGGGTACCCCATGCCATGCACTGGTTTATCACCATTTTCCCTGTTAAATAGCCATTTGGGGGGTACCACATTTTCAGGTACCAACCGTTACAAAGATACCAAGTGTTCCTCCGGGGTGAATCCACGCTTCTCATTTCGATCAGAACTTGCTCATCATCTTCCGCGTCAATGGCCATATTGAGGTGGCCAATGAACCTTGCCTTGGGCAGGGATATACTGCATCTTGCAACACTTGGGCTAAAGGATCAGATTCATGTCAACCCTGGACTTGAAATTCAGCTCTTCGAATCACTTTTTAAATTGGGGGGCCGGAGGTTTTAATCAACTAGTGCCCGTTTCCATTATTCATCATTATTCATGGGTTAAATCAATGGAATGCCCAAATTTTTCCAGGTGACTCCCATTTTTTCCTACTTTGATCCACCCTTTGTCGCGGCGGCGCCACGGCGTCGAAAAAACGCGTCGCCACCTCACGGCCGTCCCCGAGGATTTGCCGATTCGCTTCCTTCCTTGCCCCGTCGGGAACATCGGAGAGCGATTTTCGTAGAAAAATGGTAGGTACCCAAAAATGGTAGGCCCGGTGAATGAAGAGGGGCATTCGCCAGAGTTGGTTTCCCGTTCCAAGTGTTTTCTGTTTTCCTCGAGACCTCACCCTTAATGTGGTAAAAACTTGTGAAAAGGTGACATTTACAGATGAAGGAAGTCAGTGATGAACAGGACAGATTCTGAGGTGATGTGAACTGCAACTCTTCGTTCTTGATATTCCAATAATTACAGTGAGCCGCGGACGGGTGAAGTCACACCCCATCTTGCTTCAATGTTTGATGGGTGGTTCAGCTATCCTCCAATTTTTGATGGCTTGTGAATCTCATGGGTTCGTGGGTTGTTAATTGGGTTACCCGAAACACCAGAAAAGTAGCCAACTTCGATGGCCAGCGAGCCTTGATCCCAGGCAAAAGTTCCTCCCTTGACCGATGAAGACCTAGTGCTGGTGAAGAAGAACGAAGGCAGGAATACATCTGAGAAAATCTCCAGTTCATCATAGTTCATCCTTCTTCGTCGGTGGATCTTGCAAAAATGGGGGAGTTAACTTGCCCAAATGGGAATATATATATATTATAATATATATATATATTATATAATATATATATATTGTATAATATATATATAATATATATATATATAATATAATATATATAATATATATATAATATATATAATATATATATAATATATATATATACATACATATTTATACATATATATATATAGATACATATATATATATACATATATATATATATACATATATATATATAGTCATTAATTTGGATCACCTCTGTGGGGTAATTCCGATTTCTTCAAAGCAAGAATTTTCTGACCGAATCTTCGGAGGTGCCGAAATCCTGGCGAATTTGCCCCTTCCGGAGCTGGGCTTGGGACATTTGGGTGGAGGAACTCGCGGGAACGGTACCTGAAACAGACAGGAGACTGGTTCTTGGTTTCAGTTCTCTTTCAAACATCGCTTCCATGCTTGCGATGTTCCTATTGATGTGCTTAGGGTGGGTTTTGCCAACCACCAACCAGTAGAGGATTGACAGTGGATTGAAAAGCGTCGTTTGTCCGACAATGGGAGTTACCCCAAATTTGCCACGAACTAATGCGGAAAATGATGAGAATATTCAGAATACCCCGGTGGGATTTTGGGGTCCGCCATTTTCAGACCAATCCACCTTATGGTGATCCAAGATAGAGAGGTAAAACAGTAAAACCCTACCAAAATAGTGGAGTAAATCGAGCCTTTTGTAACCTTTTCTATTTTTTTAAGGTTCAATATAACCTTTTATCAAACCCGGCTTGCCAGAGACGATCTCCTGCCTCAGTGGATGACAGTTTCAACCCCCCAAACCCACTGGTCTTGCGGTGGAACACTGAGTGCTCCCACCTGGGTTCTCATCAAATTGGCCGGAGAACTCTTGCGGCCCCCGTCTTGGAAAAAGGGATATTTCGTTGTGTTCAGCCAACTTGCTCGTGATATTTTTGGGCGACTATATATTATAATTATATATAATATACGTATATTATATTATGTATTATATATATATTATATATGCATATATATATATAATATACGCATATTCTCTCGCACAGTCACTATCACATGTTGATGAACTATCTCCTATGAACCATTTTGGATGGTTCTATTGTGATTGCCTTTCCATTTTGTTCGTTGATTGGCTGCTTCAGGCCCTCCCAAATTCTCGTTGTAAGAGTGTGTTAATCATCCTATTTTCTATCAATAGAGTTGCCATAAGCCATAGTAGTTTCCATGTAAAGTGGCTATAATTGGGTTTCCCCCGTTTTCAAACAAACAAATGAAGGAACTCCCTCATTTTTCCTGGTGAAATGTCTATTTTTGCTTGAACAAACGCACCAGTTCCGTTGTATCCCGTGGAGGAGAAGAGCACCACTGAAACGCGCTGGGGCAATGAGTTGATTTTGGTGCGGCCCTCGGCTGCTTATCGCAGAATCGCAACGGGCATATGTGGGAACAGTGGTCATGCTTCACAACACAAAAACGGGCATATGACTGGCCGTAATCACAAAAAAAAGGTGGGTAGTCATGGTGGGTCCCAAATCCGATGGTCATTCGATTGATCGCAGCCAGTTGCCATGACGATCACAATAGACGGCGAAGCCAGGTCTTTTGGTTCAATGTCAGAGCCTGGAAGTGGTAACCTCTGGCTCAAATTTGGGGATCTAATCACCTGGTCTACTTTGGAATCCATAAACCAGTTGGCGTGTTGGCTGTTGATTCGTGAAACCCAGAACCATCAGAACCTCAAAGTTTCAGCCCCACGTTGCGTTTTGCCCCTGCCGTGCTGATATCTCCAGAAGAACAGAAAAGTTTAGCAAACACCTGATACCCCAAGTTTTAAGGAAACAATATTCAGATATATATATATATAAACATGCAAACCAGGTTTTCTAGTGGAAGCAGGAGCTCCACGACAGGAGGCTTTTGACGATAGTTCGCGCCCTATGACGACGAAGTGGCTATGTCACTACGACGGCACGACGACAGCATGAAGACGACCTGACGACGATGTGCCGACTGCACGACGACGATAGACCGACGGCATGACGACGGCATGACGACGACATGACGACGAGGACACGACGGTGCAACGACAGAGCGACGACCGTCATAAGCCCGGGTTCGGTGTCCAACCCCAGCTTATGACATGTCATAAGCCTGGGTTCGGGTCCGAACCCGGGCTTATGACGGTCGTCGCTCCGTCGTCGCACCGTCGTGTCCTCGTCGTCATGCCGTCGACATGTCGTCGTCATGCCGTCGTCATGTCGTCAGTCTATCGTCGTCGTGCCGTCAGCACATCGTCGTCGTGCTGCCGAGCTATCGCCGTCAGCCGTCGGCACATTGTCGTCGTGCCGTCGTCTCCATCGTCATATGGACCCGTCGTGATTTCTCATATCCCACTAGAGCATGTCTTTTGAACTATGCTAATATATATATATATTCAATATATATATATAATATATATATTGCATGAGTATATACATTTTTTCAAGCAATTGGTGTTTTACAGCCCAGGGTTGACCGTATTGATCCTCCGAATCCCTCGCCTCGCAGGACCGTCCAGTTCCATTGCTGGTGACAGAGGTCGGGTGTCTGTTGGGCGCACGAGAACAGATTTTGGGTCTGATTGAGGATGGGGGACCCCCAAAAAACGCAATTTTTTGAAGAGGGATGATGACAAAACCTCTGGATTTTGGGCAGTTCCCAGAATTTTCAGACAAAGCCACTTCAATTCGGTGTGTCTATTTTTCAGGAAAGATTGATATAGGAAAACATGGTTTTGACCATCCGACGATGAGGGAGATTCATGCATTTTTGTGCTGACTTCAATCCACTTCCATTCACATGTGGGTAGAGTACAAAGTGGGGCCCCCTAGATAGCTAAGTTGGTGAACATAACTCCAATAACTATGGTTTATGGTACTTATAACTATAGTTACTGGGGCTTATAAACCAACTTATAACTGGGGGGCCCCACATTGTAACCCTGAATGCAAATCAACAAAATGGGTGGAATTCACCCACAACATCCAATGGTTGATGATCATTGAATCATTTTTTGAAACCACCACTGAGTACTGTTACGACTGTTACGAGGTATACCTTACCCCATTCTTTCCTATCCCACTCATTGCCCCATTTTTGGATCTTCATGTTGGATAGTGTTGGATCTTCATTCTTGATTTTCTACACTACTTGTAGAGCTGTTTTCATTGGCTGAAAATCTCCCAGGCACAGGTGCAAGGAGGCGAGCTGGAAGTCTATCCTCGCAGAGTGGTGTCTGAGATGCAGAAGGGGATTTCACCCATGGAACATGGTTGTTTTTATTGCAAAGAGCCACTGTGATTGATGTAGAACATACCACTAGGATAGAGGATTTTCCAGTAATTCCACTTCTATTTGATTTTCCAGTTTTCCAGTAATTCCACTTTGATTTACCAGCTAAGATAGAGGATTTTCCAGTGATTTTCCCATGTTTTCAGCATTTTGCTGCAGTAAATCACTTGAACTGGTGATTCTAAGCATTGGTAGTCCCGGTGATCGATTGATGGCTTGGAAGGATCCGTAGGATCCTCTTGGATATGGCCCATTTATTCAGGTAAAATTTTGTACAAGTCCACCATAGTTCAACCGTCTTTTCTCAACATCAAGCCGCAATGTTCACGCATTGGAGCTGCATTTCTGTTCATGTAAGCAGCATTTCGATGATTTTTGCTTCTTCAACAACTATTTCACCAGCATTTTCTTCAGTAAAGCACCATCTTTTGGGGCTCCTTTTTCACCCTCCATTTTTTGATCTTTGGTTCGCCAAGGACAGGGTCCAGCAAGAGGCGCCGGCGGATGGATCTTCATGGTCCATTTTCCACATGTGGAAAAGACAAATGATGTCATACGTAACACGAATATATACATACTATATGTATATAATATAATACATATATATATATACACATTATATGTATACATATACTACACACATTCCCATGATACTGATATCTGAATCTTTTCATTCATGTAATATATATATCCTTATTATCTCATCATATTTTGAAATGCGGAACCACACATGATATAAATTACTGAAACATCACATTCATAAAAATACCAAATGTCACGGATATGACCAACGTGGGTGTAACATTCATTTAGAAATGCGGGTGTGACATAAAGTATTAAATATGGCAAGTAGATGGCTTCATACTAGTCAGTAACTGGTAATAAAAGAACAGGGGCATCTAACATTTACATCATATACCATTCTACTATTAATATACCATTATAGTTATTAAAGTCAGTATCCCAATATATTATATATTGATATCACAATTCTCGATTACATTTTGTTTTAATTCTGCCGCGGATCGTGACTGTGCGGATATTATATAATAGGTAAATAGTAAATATCTTAAATATCCCAATAATCAATCTTATTCCATATTAAACCCATATAAATGAATCATTAATCTACCCAACATTCCATTAATGATGTGTATATATATATATTCTCATAATGTTATTCCAGGTGATATATTTTCATATTAAATCCACATTACCATTTGGTAATTCAACATAGCTGTTGAAAATTGTCATTTATAGTTGATTTACCTCTAAAAAATAATGACTTTCCGTAGCAAACTGTTAGTTGACCAGGTAAGCTAAATCTTTCAACTAATCCCCATTAATCACTATAATTGTTAGCCATTATGTTTATTGACCACATTTTTAGTCACATCTTGATCACTATTAACCACTCTCAATGACTATCCCACAATACCCTCTGGTAATTTAACATAGCTATTGAAAATCACCATTTTCAATGGGTAAATCCACTATAAATGGCCATTTTCAATAGCTATTTTGACATAACCAGAGGGTATCCCACAATAAATCCCTGTCAAATCCCATTAAATCCCATTAACTCCCATTAAACCACCATTTTCCTATGGTTTTCCAAGTCAAAGCCATATAAGTCCATCCGAATCCCTCCCTGGATCTCCAGGTCCACGAGGTGGACGCCTGGAGCAAGGAGAACTCCGTCTTCGCCTCCTGGGCCGATCCCACCGAGGCGGGACAACGGGTTTTGTGGCGGGTCACTTCACCGTTAAAATGGTCTCATCTGGGAAAAATTTGGTGATTTTCCCGTAAAAAAAACGTGATTTACCCTCTGGTAAACTGTTACATAACTATGGAAAACCACCATTTTTAATGGGAAAATCCACTATAAATGGCCATTTTCAATAGCTATGTTAAATTACCAGAGGGTATCCTAAGAAATAGGAGTTTCACTTTTCATATGGCTGGAAGAGTGCCGAAAGTTGAAGGAACAAAGAAAACTGCGGAAGAAGCAGGTTGATAAGGTTTAAACCAACTTTTTGTTGGCATGGTTGAGTTTTGTCGCTAATTCATTTCTTTCTCAGCCACTTCTGTCGAAGGTGCGATGTGGGAAATCAGGGAATTGACAGCCAGCTGCAATAGTGGGCGTGGCAAAGTTTCAAGCCAAGGGAATCAGGAATCTGTATGAAGTCCAATTCAGGATGCAATGATCATGGCTGTCTCAATCCTCTCCTTTTTTTCGGATCTAGTCTAGGCCTAGGCCCCAGACAATTGGTGAAGCGAGAGCGTGCATGAGCCCATCACTTTCCCCCTTCAAGCATAGTCCACAATATCTGTTGATCGTCCTGCTGGGAACACCGCAAACCTACTCACGGCTGAGTTGGTCCAGAGGTGATTTTGTTTGTTTGCCAGGGGTATTTTTCCTTGGTAAAAGCAACCCTTGGCGAGTCCATTCCGCAAACCGAAAAGTTTGGAATGAATCCGAATAGAACCTCCAAACATCTGGTTATGCAATTTCTATTTTTACTTCTCAACTTTTGGGGACATTTGGTTCAACGTGTGAAATTCTTCCAGCTTACGGATCTTGTTTTTCCAGGGATCTCGTGACCAATCCACCTCCAGTGCCGCCCTTGAGCCAGGCGCTCTTCGACAAGATGTTGGCCATGGACTTGCAACTTGGCGCCACGCTGGACATGGGTACAGTTGGAGCAACCTTGAACAAAATCATCTGTAGATAATCTGTAGATCTTCTATGAATCATATATATATAGATCATCCATAAATATATAAATTCCATATTTAGATAATCCAGTAAATTTTCACATCGGCAACACTGGAAAACCTCGCATTTTCATGCAGACCACTTACTTCCAAAGGGACAACAATGGTCAATAGGTTTTCCATATTTTTCCATATCGTTTTGTGTTTTTTTACTGGGGAGGGGGCAAGCCATCCATGTCTCACTGGGGAGTTCCCTATCGATTCCTTGCTGGTTGATTTTTTCATGGAGAGGACGACTGTCAAATGGGCACTGCTCAAATGGCCCAAGATTGGGGGATCTCAAGAAACTCCTACGAGGAATTTACGCAACACACATTGAGATATGAAGCGGTAAAAGTAGGATGTACACATTATTATATAAGGATTCAAAGGTTTGATCAGGTTTGGGGAGTCTGTTTAGTATTGAACGATTCATTTTGTGGCACTCAACCTGAAATTTAGAGAACCAATGCGGTTGATTTTGCGGAAAGCAATGAATTTGGGCACCAGGTCTAAGGTACCAGGCGCATCAGTGACATCACCCCATTCTGAAAAACCGTTGGGCTGAACACCTTTGAGATACCACTGAAGACCTACTGAGGCATTTAATGGTAATTCTTTGGAGAGCCTCCGAATGGCGAGGAAAGGTCTTAGTGGCATGAAAGAGATATATAGATTTCACATCGAATCGCTGGATGAACCCCTTTTTTCCGGTTTTTTGGTGGGCAAAGTTGGAGGATGCCCCCCAAAATGATAGGAAGATCATGTAAGATCCATGGTTTCCTGTAGATCTTCCCTCAAGCCAAGCCATTGATTCTGACCCCAGGAAGTTTTGCCGACATGGAAAGTTCGCCCCGGACACAGACACCTTGCAGCTGAAGAGGCCCGAAGATGAAACAGTGGGAAACAGCGGGAGGGAGTTTGAGATATGGCTGTGGGTCCAAATCTATGATTTTCCATGAATATGAGATATCAATACATATTATACGATATGTATACATGATACATCATGAACAGAGGAAGTATGAACCTCCACCTTTTTTGCCAATCGTTTTTTCTGTGAACACAAGGGGTTCACCAGCATTTGGACCCTTCGCCGCCGCCATGTACAGATGCCCCTAATCAGTCAAGTCAGTCAAGTTCCATGGGTGAGTTTCCCAGTCCTTAGTAGGTATATAACTACAAAATGACTAGGTTGGTGAATCATTATAGTTTACCGCCCTCTGGTAAACTAACATAGCTATTGAACATGGCCCATAGAAATAGTTGATTTACCTATTAGACATGGTGATTTTCCATAGTTATGCACACATTTACCAGAGGGTAACCAGAATAAGTGTGGGATCTTGGGCAAAAAATGTGGGATTTTCCGCATGATTGGACTGACAAATCAAGAATTTGATGTTTTTCTTTTCAGCAACTGGATCATGGGCAATAAAAATTTGAGCAACAGAAAATAGGATTTGAGGCATCTAAGATGGACACCACTATTCTCGTCATTTCCAATTCTCACTTGTCATTTTTCAAACCTTTAGCATTGGGGCTTCTAGCTGCTCGATGAATCAAGGGGTACCCCTATTTTGATCCAGCAGATCTTCATCCAAAGCCACAGGTTTTTTCCGGGTGACACCAGAAGAATATCTGGAGAATTTGGTTGGAAATATTTGAGTGATATCTCTGAGATATGGATAAAACAATGGATAAATGAATTACTCTGTCTCTGAACCAGGTAGATCATGGTAGATCCACGTTCCGCTAAAGCTGTCCAGCGACCAGCAACCCATGTTCACCACGTGGTGGAAGGGTGACAGTTTGGTTCGAGATTCATGCGAGGAACTTAGAGTTTTGAAGTGTTTTGAATATAAATAAAATTGACAAGTTGATACATGCTTCATGTCAGCGTAGCCGTGGCAAGCGGTCGCAGTGAGACATTTTCACTCCCGCAGTCCTCCAAAGTTGGGGACTTGAGGCTTCTGGCGCAGAAATCCTTTCAACTTGGCTTTTTGAAGCTCGTGGATGCAAAGTATCGCGTGTTGCATCCTGAGGAGTTTCTTCAAGCTGTAGCACTTGAAGAAGGAGACCACCTGACAGCCATTGCCAGAGAGGCCAAGGTAGCGGCAACTGCGCATCGTATCGCGCTGTTTTGTTACGAAGGCGACCAGGTTGTGACTTGGGGCTATCAACATCAAGCCCGTCGTTTCCTCAAGTCCTGGTCCTCGTACCGATGTCCCGTCCCGGATCAGCTCAAAGGTGTCCAACAGGTTCAAGCAACGCAAGATGCATTTGCTGCAATCTTGGCCGATGGGTCAGTTGTGACTTGGGGCACCGAAGAGTCTGGTGGTGATAGCTCAGCCGTCAAGAATCAGCTGAAAGGCGTCAAACAGATTCAAGCAACGACGCGTGCATTTGCTGCAATCCTGGCCGATGGGTCAGTTGTGACTTGGGGCACCGAAGAGTCTGGTGGTGATAGCTCAGCCGTCAAGAATCAGCTGAAAGGCGTCAAACAGATTCAAGCAACGACGCGTGCATTTGCTGCAATCCTGGCCGATGGGTCAGTTGTGACTTGGGGCACCGAAGAGTCTGGTGGTGATAGCTCTGCCATCAAGAATCAGCTGAAAGGCGTCAAAGAGATTCAAGCAACGACGCGTGCATTTGCTGCAATCCTGGCCGATGGGTCAGTTGTGACTTGGGGTAGTAGATTTGATGGTGGCGACAGCTCTCGGATCCAAGATCAGCTCAAAGGTGTCCAACAGATTCAAGCAACTGACTATGCATTTGCTGCAATCCTGGCGGATGGGTCAGTTGTGACTTGGGGCACAGTAGAGTCTGGTGGTGATAGCTCTGCCGTCAAGAATCAGCTGAAAGGCGTCAAACAGATTCAAGCAGCAAAAAATGCATTTGCTGCACTCCTGGCTGATGGGTCAGTTGTGACTTGGGGCAGTTTACATTTTGGTGGCGACAGCTCTCGCGTCCAAGATCAGCTCAAAGGTGTCCAACAGATTCAAGCAACTGACTATGCATTTGCTGCAATTCTGGCCGATGGGTCAGTTGTGACTTGGGGCACAGTAGAGTCTGGTGGTGATAGCTCTGCCATCAAGAATCAGCTGAAAGGCGTCAAAGAGATTCAAGCAACGACGCGTGCATTTGCTGCAATCCTGGCCGATGGGTCAGTTGTGACTTGGGGTAGTAGATTTGATGGTGGCGACAGCTCTCGGGTCCAAGATCAGCTCAAAGGTGTCCACCAGATTCAAGCAACTTCAGAGGCATTTGTTGCAATTCTGGCGGATGGGTCAGTTGCGACTTGGGGCTCGCCAGCTCATGGTGGTGACAGCTCTGCAGTTGTAGACCACTTGGCATTTGTGTAGCTACATCTGTGCACGTTTGCCATTCGGATAGCGTTTGAGGGCGGATGTACCAAATGTAGCTCCCCATATGTCATCCAAAGATCTTTGGAGAAACCACTACGTGTAAAAGACATGCTCATCTTGATAGGGAAACCTCATGTAGCCTCCATTTTTGATGGCACATGTGAAATCTCCAGTTTGTGATAGCTTGGCTAGAGACATGCCCTGTGAAATCCCGACTTTGGGATGGTTGTCTATAAATATCCATTGAGACAAACATAGTTATCCATAGAGAACCATAAATATCCTGGATGGATGACCATAAACCATATGTAAACTATATATATATATATAACCATATACCAGTAGTACCGCACAAGGCGGTGGCGGAAGTTTCAGAATAGGAAACCTATAGGAGACGTTGGTTGTTGTGAATCACGGATGGCAGAGCGAATCCACTGATTGACCGAAAGGTGGTTGGAGTTGTGTTTGCTGGAGTGGTTGCAATGGTTGCAGTGGTCCCCTCACCCACAACTGCTGGATGTAGTGTGATGTACTGCAACTGTAGTTGTAGTTGTAGCGTAGTGGAGTTGTAGTTGTGGTGTAGTGTAATTAGTGTAGTGTAGTTGCAGTCATATAGTTGTAGATGTAGTTGTTTTGTAGTTGTAGTTGTAGTTGTTGTAGTTGTAGTTGTTGTTGTAGTTGTAGCTGTAGTTGTTGTGTGGTTGTAGTTGTTGTGTAGTGTAGTAGTAGCAGTAGCAGTAGCAGTAGCAGTAGCAGTAGCAGTAGCAGTAGCAGTAGCAGTAGCAGTAGCAGTAGCAGTAGCAGTAGCAGTAGCAGTAGTAGTAGTAGTAGTAGTAGTTGTAGTTGTTGTAGTTGTAGTTGTTGTTGTTGCTGTTGCTGTTGCTGTTGTCGTCGAAGTTAGGGTAGTTAAGTTAGTGAAGTTAGTCAAGTTAGTTAAGTTAATCAATGTCTACTTTTTCGACATCTTCACGTCAAAAAAGGCTCAAAACCCTCAGTTTTTTACACTTTTGACTTCGAAACGTGCTTCGCGCCACAACGGCGTGCACTTTTTCGACACTTTTTCGACATCTCAACTTCCAAAAGTGGTCCGAGACCGCCAGTTTTTAACACTTTTGACTTGGAAATGTGCTTCGCGCCACAACGGCGTGCACTTTTTCGACATCTCAACTTCCAAAAGTGGTCCGAAGCTGAGGTGTTTTGTACATTTTGACTTGGAAATGTGCTTCGCGCCACAACGGCGTGCACTTTTTCGACATCGCAACTTCCAAAAGTCGTCCGACGCTGAGGTGTTTTGTACCTTTTGACTTGGAAATTTGCTTCGCGCCACAACGGCGTGCAATTTTTCATCGCTCCTGTGACCAGCTGGCTCCGCACCCGCCGCTTTAGCGAGCCTACTTTTCGACCCTCCTGAGCCACAAATCATTGGAGAAACACAGTGTTTCGCGACTTTCCTACCTTTTCGCGCATCTGTATCTTCTTTCTTCTGACTCTTTCTCTTCTCATCTTCTCTCTTCTAATCTTCCTCTTCTCTCTGCCTCTCCCCTACTCTGCTTTTCATCTGTCCATATTGTCGGAAGTTTGACTTCGAAACTTCCTTCGATCATTAAATATCATTAATATTCGGATATTCATCATCTATCCGTTTTTTCAAACCCATGTTCCATATGTCACTGGCTGTTCCCATGGTGACTGTTCCCATGTTTTGCGACGTCATGGGTATTGAACCAATTTTCCCCTGTTTCGCGACCCCCCAACAATGTATTTTATATATATATACATAACACAGTTATGGCCCTTAACATTTATTCAAATTAGATTATGACTCCTGTAACTAAGGTGACATATATCACTTAAATGATGTTCTTCAGCCCGTTATAACTGCAAATCACTGCAAGTCTCAACGGGAGATCACCTGACGAGGTCTGAATGTCAATGGCTACCATGGTATTCCCCATTCTGATTCCATGCTATTTCTATTGTGATTCCCATTATACTATATTTTCATTATCATTCCCATAATACGTCCATAGTATTACCATAATATCCCATTCTATTCTCATATTATTCCATGATAGCTCCCATATTTTTCCCATCAGATCCCGAATTTGTTTCACGTGATATTCCCATTAAACCATATTCAACCATATTCAACCATATTGAACCATATTAAACTATATTAAACCATATTAAACCATATTAAACCATATTAAACCATATTAAACCACCATTTTTGCCAGTTATCCCAAGTTTTGATGGTACCATCACTACGAAATGAAGCCGCCAGGGGCGAGGGTCTTGCAGAAGCGCTCGCCGGCGGCTTGCTGCGGCCGCAGGGCGTGGTGGCCACCAACTTCCTGCCACACGTGGATTTGGCGACCCAGCGCTGACTGGACCTTTAAGAGTGATTCATGAGAATATCTAATTCTATGTCTAACTCTAATTTTTGTAGGACTTATGGTAGTTATACCTATAGTTGTTTTACTGGTTGGTGGTTTGGAACATGTGGATTATGTTTCCATCTATTGGGAATGTCATCATCCCAATTGACTTTCATATTTTTCAGAGGGGTTGAAACCACCAACCAGCTATGTATATATATATATACATATGCAAAGTTGTGTAGTGTAGTGTAATGCCATAGATTTAATATGTAATGTAATGGAAATAATATGTAATGGATATAATATGTAATGGAATGTAATGGAATGGAATGGAATGTAATGGAATGGAATGTAATGGAATGGAATGTAATGGAATGGAATGTAATGGAATGGAATGTAATGAACTGTATATAATATGTATTGTAATGTAATGTATGCATGCATGTACGGTACTGTACTGTATGTACTGCACTGCACTGCAATGCAATGCAGTGCAATGCAATGCAATGTGATGTATGTAATGTATGTAATGTATGTGAATGTGATGTATGTAATGTATGTAATGTATGTAACGTAATGTACTGTAATGCAATACAATACAATGCAATGCAATGTATTGCAATGTATGCAATGTATGTAATGTATGTAATGTACCGCAATGGAATGTAATGTAACGTAATGTAATGCAATGCAATGTAATGTGATGTACTGCAATGTAACGCAATGCAATGTACTGTAATGGAATGTAATCTATGTAACATAATCTATGTAATTCATGGAATCTATGCAAGGTATGGTATGGTACGTACGTACGTACGTACGTATGTATGTATGTATGTATGAAGTGACACACACCCATGATTTATAGGTTGTTTTATTGATGGGAATATATTGGGATTATATTATATATATAGTGGTCAATGGGAAAACTAATTGGAACATGTATACTTGGATTATACAGTGAATAATGCGAACATTGTACAATGGGAATATTATCATGATGGCGAGATTATAAATTGTGATGGAAATCCCCTGTCAGTGGACATTTAAGTGGGAAAATCATCTGTAGATATTTCATTGCCATGTTTGATTACCAGATGGGAGTATATAGTGATTCATGGGAATATGAAGTGACACACACACACATACACATCTAATTTTGTAGATGATGTATAAACTGTTAGTCGTGATGTATAGCACTCTGGGATGATGAGAAGAACATTCTGTGTTGAATTGAATCATGACATCATGACATCATGATATGTTTGATATTAAACATTACCATCTTACGATTCTCTTTGATATGTTTAAAAAAACACAAACAAAAACAAAAAAACAACTATCTTACCATGATATTGATATTTTTTGAACGAAAAAAAACAACCAATCACAGCAAAAAAAAATACCCACCCACCCGCCCCCCCCCCACCCGCCACCCCCACCCCCCCCTCCTCCCCCTCCCCCCCCCCACCCCCCTCCACCCCCGCCCACCACCCCCCCCCCCCCCACCCCACCCAAACCCCACCTCTCTTCCCCCTCTTATTGATATTTTTTGAACGAAAAAAAACAACATCTGAAGGAAAATAGCATGGATTTCACCATGTTTCACCGAGGCAGCACCTCTGGCAGCCTACGGCAATGCCTTGGCAAATCGGCCAGGGATCAGTTTTTCCATTCAGGCAGGGCAGCAGTGCAACGACGCCGTTTTAAGCATCGAAAGTGGGACATGTTTCACCATGAAAATGGATGAACATGGATGAACATTGATGAACGTGGATGAAAATGGATGAAACAATTGGAGATTTGATGGGGACATATATTTCGATATGCGATATTTTTTCATGGGAATATGATTAATAAAATGGTTGTTAAACTGCAAAACTGGAGAATCACCATTTTTGCGATGTAAACCATTGAAGTATGCGTGGGCCATGGCTTCCATGGCGAACTGTTAAATTACCGGAGAGTGTTTCAAATTCAAAGTCTGAAAAAGATGTGCTTACTATGCATGTGTATGTATGTGTAATTATGTGTGTATATGTATATATATAATATGAAGATATGAATATATGTATACATATAGTATAATATATTGCATCTGTTTTTTAAACGTTGCTTTCTTAAAACCTGGTGTGATTTTCCAAACCTGGCAAGTGTCACAGCAGTTGTTTGAGGTCAACAAGGCCATCAAGTTGGAGAATGATCTGGAGCAATTGTTCGAGACAGCCCGCGGCTCAGGACCCCCAAAGGATGGGAATCCTTGAGGCAATCCATACGCTGAATTTTCATGACGGCCCAAAAAGGCCCAATGTCGTCAGCGAAAAAACGGAAATACGTGTCCCTTAAAAATTACATGAAAATAGAAGAAACTGGTATAACTATGTATAACTGGTATAGATAATTGGTATAGCTGCTATAACTGGTATAACTGATATAACTGGTATAACTGGTATAACTGGTATAGCTGCTATATAACTGGTATAGATAACTGGTATGTATAACTATGTATAACTGGTATCAGAAAAAGACGATCAACGAAGTGCCCTTTCTCTCAATGGGAAGGTCATCGTTCCATCGCCAGGTGGAGGGCACTGGAAACCGCGGCTCGGTGAACGAACAGTTCGCTCTGGAAGCCATGGCCCATGAACATCGTTGATTTATCATGTTTTACCCGTACCGTTTTTTCTACAGTTGATTTATTCGGATTTACCGTTTTTCTATAGTTGATTTATTCTGGTTTTTCTTTTTTTGAAATGGTGATTGTCCAGTTCGCTATGTTACTTTACCAGAGGCTGATGATGAGAACAATACTAAGAATAAACCATGACATCCATATGATAATGATTCATGATGATCATGTTTTCCACAGTGATAATGTGAAAGACAATGATTCTATATAGTGATGATGTGAATCATTGTGAATTATCACAATAATAATCTATGAATCATAATCATAATAATGATCATCATCATCATCATTCATTACTGTTATTATTGGTATTTGTCATCAGTAATGATATTATACTAATATTGCCCTTATACTTAACATATCTTAACATTATATATATTATTTAAGGGCTGCCGCCTCTGCCGCCGACCCCGGAAGAAGTGGCAACGAATCAAACCAAATAACACCACCTAATATCGCGCCCAAAAAGCAACAAAAGCACCCCAAAAAGGGTCTAACGTCACTTCTGAAACCCTACTATAAAATTGTATAAAATTGAGACTTTTCAGTTTTGTGGCCAGCGAGCCCGCCAAGCACAATTGACTTTTCAGTTTTAAGGACCTATAAAATTGAGACCTTTCGGTTTTGTGGCCAGCGAACCTGCCAAGCACAAGCTGCATGCCTTTGTGACGCATCCGCAACGGCAAAACACTATCTAATTTCGTGCCCAAAACGCAGTACAGGAACCCCAAAAAAGGGCCTAACGTCACGTCTGAAACCCTACTATATAAAATTGAAATTTTTATAATAAAATTGAGACTTTTTAGTTTTATTTCCAGCGAGCCCGCCCAGGACAAGCTGCATAACTTTGTGACGCGTCCGCAACGGCAAAACAGCACCCAATTTCGTGCCCAAAACGTAGCACAGGAACCCCAAAAAAGGGCCTAACGTCACTTCTGAAACCCTACTATAAAATTGACAATTGTCAGTTTTGTGGCCAGCGAGCCTGCCAAGCACAAGCTGCATGCCTTTGTGACGCATCCGCAACGGCAAAGCACCACCTAATTTCGTGCCCAAAACGTAGCACAGGAACCGCAAAAAAGGGCCTAACGTCACTTCTGAAACCCACTCTACTATAAAATTGAAACTTTTCAGTTTTGTGGCCAGCGAGCCTGCCAAGCACAAGTTGCATAGCTTTGTGACGCATCCGCAACGGCAAAACAGCACCTAATTTCGTGCCCAAAACGTAGCAAAAGAACACCAAAAAAGGACCTAACGTCACTTCTGAAACCCTACTATAAAATTGTAAAATTGAAATAAAATTGAATTGAAACTTTGATAAAAATTGAGATTTTTCAGTTTTGTCGCCAGCGAGCCTGCCAAGCACAACCTGCATGGCTTTGTGACGCATCCGCAACGGCAAAGCAGCACCTAATTTCGTGCCCAAAACGTAGCAAAAGAACACCAAAAAAGGGCCTAAATTGAAATAAAATTGAGACTTTTCAGTTTTGTTTCCAGCGAGCCTGCCAAGCACAAGCTGCATAACTTCGTGACGCATCCGCAACGGCAAAGCAGCACCTAATTTCGTGCCCAAAACGTAGCAAAAGAAGCCCAAACGTCACTTCTGAAACCCACTCTACTATAAAATTGAAACTTTTCAGCTTTGTAGCCAGCGAGCCTGCCAAGCACAAGTTGCATAGCTTTGTGACGCATCCGCAACGGCAAAACAGCACCTAATTTCGTGCCCAAAACCGAGCAAAAGAACACCAAAAAAGGCCTAACGTCACTTCTGAAACCCTACTATAAAAATTGATTGAAACTTTTCAGTTTTGTGGCCATCGAGCTTGCCAAGCACAAGTTGCATCGCTTTGTGACGCATCCGCAACAGCGAAACAGCATCTAATTTCGTGCCCAAAACGTAGCCAAAGAACACCAAAAAATAACGTCACTTCTGAAACCCTACTATAAAATTGAAATAAAATTGAAACTTTGATTGAAACTTGGATAAAATTGAGACTTTTCAGTTTTGTTTCCAGCGAGCCTGCCAAGCACAAGCTGCATAGCTTTGTGACGCATCCGCAACGGCAAAATAGCACCCAATTTCGTGCCCAAATCGTAGCAAAAGAAGACCAAAAAAGGGCCTAACGTCACTTCTGAAATCCGACTTTAAAAAAAAATGAGACTTTTCAGTTTTGTAGCCAGCGAGCCTGCAAAGCACAAGTTGCATGGCTTTGTGACGCATTCGCAACGGCAAAACAGCACCCAATTTCGTGCCCAAAACGTAGCACAGGAACCGCAAAAAAGGGCCTAACGTCATTTCTGAAACCCTACTATAAAATTGTTGAGCTTTTTATAAAATTGAGACTTTCCAGTTTTGTGGCCAGCGAGCCTGCCAAGCACAAGTTGCATAGCTTTGTGACGCATCCGCAACGGCAAAACAGCACCTAATTTCGCGCCCAAAACGTAGCAAAAGAACACCAAAAAAGGGTCTAACGTCACTTCTGAAACCCTACTACAAAATTGTAAAATTGAAAATAAAATTGTATAAAATTGAAATAAAATTGAATTGAAACTTGGATAAAAATGAGACTTTTCAGTTTTGTTTCCAGCGAGCCTGCCAAGCACAAGCTGCGTAACTTTGTTCCGCAACGGCAAAACAGCACCCAATTTCGTGCCCAAAACCTAGCAAAAAAACACCAAAAAAGGGCCTAACGTCACTTCTGACGCTCTGCTATAAAATTGTAAAATTGAAAATAAAATTGAATTGAAATTTTGATAAAAATGAGACTTTTCAATTTTGTTTCCAGCGAGCCTGCCAAGCACAAGCTGCATAGCTTTGTGACGCATCCGCAACAGCAAAACAGCACCCAATTTCGTACCCAAAACGTAGCAAAAGAACACCAAAAAAGGCCCTAACGTCACTTCTGAAACCCTACTATACAATTGTAAAATTGAAATAAAATTGAGTTGAAACTTTGATAAAAATGGAGGCCCGTATTCTTTGTGTTCCAACGTCTCCACGTATCCATCGGCTCCCTTTTTACTGTCCGTTCTCTTCTTCTTCTTTTTATTTTGTCTTGTTAGTTGGGGGGAGATTTTTCAGTTTTGTCGCCAGCGAGCCTGCCAAGCACAACCTGCATGGCTTTGTGACGCATCCGCAACGGCAAAACAGCACCTAATTTCGTGCCCAAAACGTAGCAAAAGAACACCAAAAAAGGACCTAACATCACTTCTGAAACCCTACTATAAAATTGTAAAATTGAAATAAAATTGAATTGAAACTTTGATAAAAATGAGACTTTTCAGTTTTGTGGCCAGCGAGTGTGCCAAGCACAAGCTGCATGGCTTTGTGACGCATCCGCAATGGCAAAGCAGCACCCAATTTCGTGCCCAAAACGTAGCAAAAGAACACCAAAAAAGAGCCTAAATTGAAATAGAATTGAATTGAAATTTGGATAAAATTGAGACTTTTCAGTTTTGTTTCCAGCGAGCCTGCCAAGCACAAGCTGCATAACTTTGTGACGCATCCGCAACGGCAAAGCAGCACCTAATTTCGTGCCCAAAACGTAGCAAAAGAAGCCCAAACGTCACTTCTGAAACCCACTACTATAAAATTGAAACTTTTCAGTTTTGTAGCCAGCGAGCCTGCCAAGCACAAGTTGCATAGCTTTGTGACGCATCCGCAACGGCAAAACAGCACCTAATTTCGTGCCCAAAACCGAGCAAAAGAACACCAAAAAAGGCCTAACATCACTTCTGAAACCCTACTATAAAAATTGATTGAGACTTTTCAGTTTTGTGGCCATCGAGCTTGCCAAGCACAAGTTGCATCGCTTTGTGACGCATCCGCAACAGCGAAACAGCATCTAATTTCGTGCCCAAAACGTAGCCAAAGAACACCAAAAAATAACGTCACTTCTGAAACCCTACTATAAAATTGAAATAAAATTGAAACCTTGATTGAAACTTTGATAAAATTGAGACTTTTCAGTTTTGTTTCCAGCGAGCCTGCCAAGCACAAGCTGCATAGCTTTGTGACGCATCCGCAACGGCAAAATAGCACCCAATTTCGTGCCCAAATCGTAGCAAAAGAAGACCAAAAAAGGGCCTAACGTCACTTCTGAATACTTCTGAAACCCGACTTTAAAAAAAAATGAGACTTTTCAGTTTTGTAGCCAGCGAGCCTGCAAAGCACAAGTTGCATGGCTTTGTGACGCATTCGCAACGGCAAAACAGCACCCAATTTCGTGCCCAAAACGTAGCACAGGAACCGCAAAAAAGGGCCTAACGTCATTTCTGAAACCCTACTATAAAATTGTTGAGCTTTTTATAAAATTGAGACTTTCCAGTTTTGTGGCCAGCGAGCCTGCCAAGCACAAGTTGCATAGCTTTGTGACGCATCCGCAACGGCAAAACAGCACCTAATTTCGTGCCCAAAACGTAGCAAAAGAACACCAAAAAAGGGTCTAACGTCACTTCTGAAACCCTACTACACAATTATAACATTGAAAATAAAATTGAAATAAAATTGAAATAAAATTGAATTGAAACTTGGATAAAAATGAGACTTTTCAGTTTTGTTTCCAGCGAGCCTGC